TGATACCATTTCTTCCACTGCTAGGAGATATCGTCTTCTTTGGGCTTTTCTTTTTTACTTCCCCTCAAGATTTTTCAAACATATCTATTAGGGAAACATTTTCACACTCTGGTAAAAAATGTTCTATTCCCCTCTCGTGAGTTTCGTCATTATCCAAGCTCACTATATAGAATCTCAGTCACTCTCTCTTTTATACGTATAAGTAGAGCTAATCAAGTTAAACGGGCCCAATAAAATAATAGTTTAAAAATGTAAAATTGGCGAAATCGTTACCGTTTTTTTTTTTTTTTTTTATATAGCAAGTCAACTATTTGTAGATTTAAAGAGAATTCAATCTCTTTACTCCATGTATTTGTTCATGTTATCTTAAGCATGATATGTGGATATAATAAGAATCATAATTATATGGATAATTCATAATTGATATAATTATGAGAGAGAGGTTATAAAGCAAGCAACCGAATATTCATATTAATGGATCATATTCATATGTAGATAGCTCTTGTAGTTAGCTAAAAGAACATCATAATTGCACGACCACCTTTCCCGACATAACCATGCATTATGCTATAATTATGTGTACAATTTAACGTTAATTTTACTACAACACCCATCAAATCCATTCAACAAAATTTATCAATCAACCCTAAAAACAACTCTGACTTCTACGACATTATCATCTTATCTACTTATCTTGAAGTGATTTTACGAGTGAAAATTGTTCTCACAAATTAACATTAGTTCTTTTAGTATGTTTTGGTTTCATTTACGTATTTTCTAAGAAAAATTTCAAAAGATTACTCAACATTGATCGACACGGAAAATGAAGGTACATTTTGTTGCGTTTGCTACAGGAAGGTTTCTACACCCTTATAAAAGGTGTTTTATTCTCCTCCCCAACCAATGTGGGACATCACAATCCACCCCTTTTGGGCCCAGCGTCCTCGCTGACACTCGTTCCTTTCTCCAATCGATGTGGGACTACAACGAAATCCACCCCCTTTGGGGCCAGCGTCATCGCTCACACTCGTTCCTTTCTTCAATCGATGTGGGACTACAACGAAATCCACCCCCCTTCAGGGCCCAGCGAGAAGGCACAATTCACCCCCTTCGGGACCCAACGTCCTCGCTGGCACTCGTTCGTTCCTTTCTCCAATCGATGCGGGACTGTAACCAAATCCACCCCCTTTAGGGCCCAATGAGAAGGCACAATCCACCATGTTCGAGGCCCAACGTCCTCGCTGGCACTCGTTTCTTTCTCCAATCGATGTGGGACTGCCACCAAATCCACACCCTTTAGGGTCTAGCGAGAAGGCTAACACATCGTCCGGTGTCTGGCTTTAATACCATTTGTAACGGCTTAGACCCACCGCTAGTAGACATTATCTTCCCCAACCAATATAGGACATTATGACTATGTTGCAGGGAATGCAATAAAATGTTGAAGCGGATACCAAATGAGTCGTTACAAGCTCTCATTCAAATGTAATATTGGTTTATTCGTGTATCCTTTTCTACATAATCATATATTAAAATTAGACACTTTTATATTGAATACATTTTTCGATGTAATTAAGGATTAAATTGAGATGTTGGACCAATTTTCCAAGGGGGGCCCACTTTATCGTGTTTTATAAATGAAATTAAGGGCTTTAAGTAAGGTATCTGCATCTGCTGCAGCTGAGATAATGATGATACGATTTGGCAATGGAATTATATATATATATATATATATATATATATATATATATATATCTTTATATTATTGCCAAGATTTTGGGTGGGTTAACTATAATTAGGTCGATAAACACTTGATTACTAACAATTGCCAGCTGACTTTCCTCACTAATACTTCTTTAAAATGCTTAATTATAATTAACAAACTAAGTGTATTTTGGTTAATTATAACAAATAAAATCAATAATTACTCTCACATGTTCGATGATAAAAGTCCAACATTGACTAATTTAAGAAACGATCATAGTTTTATAATCAAAAATACTCTCTCCATTGGTATGAAGCATTTTGATGAAGCTCAAAGTAAAGTCATGAGAGCTTATGCTCAAAGTCATTGTGGAGAGTCGTGTTCATTTAACTATTGTGACAAGAGTGGTTAACTATTAACTATATATCACATTAATAACTAAAACTTAATCATATATTCATAAGTCATAACGCTCAATTTTCATAATATTTCAAATGTAGGGTAAAGTTGAGTTGGGTTATGAATCCTATTTTGAGGTTAGCCAAATTGACCCGACTGAAAAAATTTCAACCTTTGAATCAAACTAAATGGTTCGATTTTTAAAAAATTTAACTCAATCCAACTTAAGTTGAGTAGTCCATATCATCGAATCATATGAACGATCACTACTTCGAGTCTCAATCCCGAGAGAGATTGATATTGATTACGAGAGAACGGTAGCATTTTTTGGAAAAAGTGAATGAAGAGAGTACTCATCATAGGAAGGAAAGCATTGGCATTGGCATTCCCTTTTGAAGAAAAAAGGATAAACGAATTACTTTCAAGACAGTTGAGAATGATTGTGTCCTCTTCATAAAGTCGAAGAGAGCCATGAAATAAACAGCAAAACCCTAGAGCTCTTTCTTTTTTGACCCATCTACTCTTATATGCACCTCGATCTAATGCATGCGTAAGCGTATCTCTTCACGATTTTTTTTTTTAATTGTCTCGAGTTAGATGCTCGATAAAGATGATGTAACATGTTAAATTACCCTTAGCAGATATTGTCTTATTTGAACTTTTTCTTTCGTGTTTCTCCTCAAAGTTTCTAAAACGCGTCGGCCAGAGAGAGATTTCCACACTATTATAAATAATGATTCGTTCTTTTCATTAACCAATGTGGATTCTTATAGTCCACTGCCCAACGTTCTCGTTCACTATTGTAATCGATGTGGGATCTCACAATTCACCTCCATTCGGGACTCAGTGTTCTCGCTAGCACTCGTTCCTCTCTTCAATTGATGTGGGATCTCACAATCCACCATCGTTCTCGCTGACACTCATTTATCTCTCCAATGGATTTATTATTTTCAATTTTATTATTATTATTGTCACGTTAACACCTAATTTCAAATTTAAAACGAAAAAGTTTTTTTTTTTATTTTTAAGAAAAAGAAAAAATAAAAAAAGGAAACAGTTGGAGCACAGTCCCAACGACATGAAGTGGGGCCCACTAACCGCTAGTACCTGTCAAGCGAATAAAAACAAATTCTTGGCCCGGACTTTCCTCTTTCTTTTTTTATTTTTTTCCACGAAATTAAAATCAAAATTAGAAAAATAAAAATAAAAAATGATTTAAAATTAAATAAATAATTAATTACAAAGAAGCCCCTGGTTTGTTTGTGACGCGGTTTTAGCTACTTCCAACTCAATCTTGGTTTAGATTTATTTTGCCACGTGTCTCTTTATCATTCGCTTAAACATGCATTAAATATTTTTTTTCTCTATTTAAAAATTAAATAAAATCTTTTGTTCCATCAAATAATATTTAAAAAAAAAACAAAATCTTTCTTTGTCCATTAGCTCTTTGTATATATGTAATAATATAAAATTTTCAAATTCTTTGAACTTTGTCACTTTAATGATATCCATTTTCATATCAAATCCCTAAATTAAATGTCTCACATTTATTTATTTAATATCGGATGGTCACATGTGGTATTATTCACCGAACTTATTTTATATATCTCGACTATCTTATCATGTTTGTTCAAGAAATTTGTCCAATTATTTAATTTGTTTTAGTTCAACCATTTCTACGTAACGAGATCGAACACTGAATTATGCTTAAATTGGTATATTATATCACATATTATCTTTTTTCATAATTATTCGTTAAAAATTATTTTTTTTAATTGTCTATTTATTAAAAATTTAAAATTGACGTAAGGATGATAGTAGGGTGAGATACATTTTTGTTCCATTCACACTCGAAGAAAAATAATAATGGGGAAGTAGTAATTTGAGTTTTAGCCAACGACGATCGTTAAATAAAAAACATCATAATCAAATAAAAATAAAGGAAAAGATTTGAGGGCCAGATGGGGAAAAAGACATAATGAAATGAGGCATGTGACATTGGATTATGCATCATGAAATCTTTATCATAAGCTAACAAAACTATATAATAAACTTCATTTTCAAGTTGATTTTTTTTTTTATAAGTATCTACCAAAGAAATTAAAAAAAAAATGAAAATGTTTAAGAAAGTAGAAACAGGAGTGGGGTCCACACGGTTTAATGATGACATTATAATGGTGAAAATAATCGGGTGAAATTGAGAACAGAGTAAAGTTGGTGGACTTGACATAATATTTTGGTTGAAAACGACGTGGTTTTGAAAATAAGGGTTTAGCCACATGGCTGCGCTTATTTTATTATTTATTATGCTTTCAAACCTAATTAATTTTGAAAAAAAAAATATATCTCTTGAATTATTAGTGGAAGACAGTATTTTTCCTAAATGTAATTAAATAAAATATATGTATATATAATTGTATTTTTAAGTAAATTAAAAAATGAATCGATAACCAAATTTCAAATTTATGAATCGAGTTGAGTTGATTGCATTCTTGTTTCATTGGGTCTCTTGAACGTCCCTAAGTGACAATAGGGTGCGAGCCCACATGCTACTTTCTTTGATATTTTGGGTCATATGTTAGCCCAAAACAAGACCAATCGACACGCGATGGTGTTGGTGTTGGAACGTTAGTTCGAAATTTGATTGCTTAAATGAAAACAGGAAGAAAGGGTTATAAATGAGCCGTCTTTTGTAAATGACTATCATTACAAATCGTTAGTCAAATTCATCGATTAAACTATCCTCCTTAATCCAAATCAAGATGGTTAAAAGAATAGATGTTCGAATTTCTTACTTCAAAATGTCAGATTTCAATTACAACACCTTCCCCTTTTTTAATAAGTTAGAAGTTCGAATCTCTTTTCTCGACAGTTATATAATTTACACTATACATACACACTCGAAACAAAATAATATATAAACATCACGAACAATACAAGCCACAGGTGGAATAATCATAGCTACGTACAAGAAAGTAAAATTTAAACTGCTAGCTGAAACAGTATAATGATCTCACTTGTCATTCATGTCGTCTGATTTTAGCGTTGTGACGAGCTTCTTTGTAGGATTGAATCTTTTCAGCAGCTCTGTGCAATGGTCTTCCAATATAAGATCTTTGCAGAGCGGAAGATGATGATGGTGAATTGACATTGTTGTTCTTCCTTTCTTCTTCATCTTCTCCAGTAGCAGTAAATTTCATGTCTTCTTCTATCTCAAACGAGTTATCTTCAGGGTGTCTCATTTGATATCTAAATCTACCAGATTGTGCTCTTACACAATGCCTGTAAACAGAAAAATATGTAAAAAAAAGCAGCAACTAAAGTTGAAAGAATACCAGTTCAAATATTGCTAAGTACCTTTTGTTTTCATCATCTCTCTTCATCGCACACTTTGAGTATGAAGCTGAAGGGCTCATAGCTGCAGTTGTTTAAGTGTCGTTACTTTTCAACCAGATAATAAGAATAAAGTTTTCAGGTTTTGGACGTTGAGGATCGTGTGGAAGGAGTCCCACACTAGCCGCTAATTTAGGGAATGATCATGGCTTTATAAGTAAGGAATACATCTCTATTGGTACGAGGCTGGGAAGCCAAAAGCAAAGCCACGAGAGTTTATGCTCAAAGTGAACAATATCATACCATCATGGAGAATCGTAATTCCAAACGTAGGAGTCCTCTTAACATGGTCTCAAAACCATCCTAATATTTGGGAGTAACATGTTCTTGAAAAAGATTTAGAAGTGATTTATGAGGAAACAGTCCTAGAGAATAACTTTATTAAAAGCATTTTCAAAAGAGTAGAACTAAGCATCAGAATAATTTCTTATGAAACCCTATACTTCAACTCACAATTTGAACATAACGGTGAGGATAGTTGCTATAAATTGGCAATAAAATGGAACATTTTTAGGCTTTTGTTCATATTCATCAATTCATGAACATACATTGATTTCTAGCTCGTCCGGAGGGCTTTCTGTTTCCACTGCAAGCTTTGGTGTCAGTTTTAACCGCAAGTGGAAATTGCTCTGTTGGCTTCTCTTCTTCCTGAAGCCAGGAAAGAATGGGTGAAAAAGACAGTTCTAAGTGAAGTTTGAGGCATGAAAAGAATAGAAAAGCAGATGCCTGAAAGAAAAAAAATGGAAATTACCAATTACCTGCCATTCAGAATTTCCATTATTCATTCCTGCTTTCCCCTGACGGAATATACAGCAGTTTCTTGTTAAAATACATGACTTTTTCATTGCCTATTGAATAAAATTAACCTCGCTAATCAAAATCTTGATAAGAAAAGCTTCAGTTTTTCCCCCAAACCGAGTTTGGGGTCTAGTTTAGGATTTGATCCAAAAACTGTGTTAAAGAATAAGATCTTTAGATCTAAATTATCCAAAAATTTTAAAAAAGGATAAGAAATCAACCCAAATGAAAGTTTTGGAACAAATTTCCTTGATGATCAAGATAAAAAATAAAGAAAACTCATTTCTAAACTCGTGATTCGAATCATTTCACAAGAAAACTTCGATCAAGACTACTCCTAATTACATATTTTTGATTAAATTACCATTTTAGTTCCAATTCTAACATTATCTCTGTCATCATCTAGATGATGATCTGACTACTTATTGAAAAAATATTAATAAATGACTGAAACAATTCCAGAAATAGACAAAATAGATATCCCTACTATTCTTTGCAGGAAGAAAAAGTGTCTAAAGTTACTACCACAGTATTCAAACGCGTTGCTTTTAGCAAGGCCTCCTTGCATTCAAGCTCATGCCCCAGTGATTTTATCTGAAACACATCAGGACCAATTTATTGAGCATACATGAGATGCAAACAAATACTGCAAAAAAGAAATTCAAGATTCTTGGGAACTTACTCTCTCTCTCCCTAAATTGATTTCCTGTAAGAGGAAATCGATGTAAAGTTAATTAGAGTCTCAGAGTTGTCAAGGGAAATGAAAAATAGGAGAGGGATAATCATAAATGTTTCTGAATTATAAGTGATCGTACTGCTAAAAAATGACTGTTTGATTGAGCAAGCTGCCAATTCTGAAGCTGCAGTTTCTGAATGCATTCCCGAAGTTTGTTTAGCTCGGCTTCACTCAGATCAATAATTTCACTGTTCAAATGTCAAGGAATCGTTTCTTTCTCTTGAAAGTTCTGTTTTCAAAAGATATGAACTACGATAGTATTGACATGATATGCTAATGAGATTGATAATAGACAATTTAGACGAAGAAAAGGCAAATCCAGAAGGATACTTCTTCTCCATGACAAGTTTCATCAGAGCCATATTTTCCTGATCCATAAATTACATCCAATCAAACAAATATGTCAGATTAAAGAAAAACTTTCTTAAAAAAAAAAATCTGAGGAACAGGCAAGGGAGACCAGATGCATACGTCCACCAGCTGATCGACAACGTCTTGATTTGACCGCCAAGCTTCCGAAGACCTTTCATCTTCCATATGAGCTCTCATTGTCTTGGAATTCGTAATATCTGCTAGCTTGTTTCGCACTCTGCTTCCAATTGACAATCGCTTCGCCATTTCAAATCAGCGAATTGTAACACAATGCCCTAAGGAAGAAATTTTGCCAATAATTGGGGATTTCTGGTGTTTGTGATGAGAGGAATTTGCGGTTTTTATGGAAGAGAAAACAGAGGAAATTAGAGAAGAAAGAAAAGCCCTAATTACAGAGATTCAAGATTCAAAGGAACAAAGAAAAAAAGCTGAAGACGAAGATTCTGCAATAGTTGAGAGCTTCGGCCGGACAACGGCTTTCCGAATCGGTAAAGCCGAGAGGGCTAAATTAAATCAATTCCGAACCTACCTCTCCGAACCAAGATTTTAAATATTTGAACGTTACCCTTGTGAATCCTTTTCTTTATTTTTCTTAGATGCTCTTTTATCTTTTTTTTATATATATAATAATTATTAATTTAAACACAATGGAATTATATTCCTAAATTCTCTAAATTATAGTGATAAAAGAAACCAGGAGAGCCCGAGAGATATAAAAGTATTTTCAACCCAAAAAACAGTTATCAAATAATGAACCAAACCTAACTTAACTATAAATTTTTTGGGTTTACCCGAGTTGTTAGGCTCATTTATTCAATTATTTATTTTTAATCAAAGTAAAATGTTAGTTCGTCAAAATTTATTTTCAAACTTTTTTTTTATAATTTGCGACTCGATTTCAATATATATTTTGAAAAATTAGTTTTCAATTATAAAAATATTATATTTAAGAGGGGTCGAAGAATAAATAATAAAATAAATAAATAAATAAATAAATAAATAAATAAAAATATATATATATATATATATATATATATATATATATATATATAATTGCGACTCAATTTTTTTCAAACATTTGCGGCTAAATTTCAATATATATTTTAAAAAATTAACTTTCAATTATTAAAATATTATTTTTTAGAATGGTTGAAGAATAAATAAGAAAATAAATATATACATAAACATTTTTTTACCCTAGTTCAATATATATTTTAAAAATTAACATTCAATTATTAAAATATTATTTTTAAGAGTGGTTAAAGAATAAATAATAGAATTAAATATATATATATATATAATTGTATGCAAGTAAAAATGTAAAATTGGGGTTGGTTTAGCTCACCTCAGTCTAGTTTTAGAAGAACACGTGAACTAACTTAATCAATTTTATTTATTAGAACTCAATCCAATCTAAGTTGTACAAATTAGATTGAATTGATTAAATTTTTGAAGTCATCGAATTCTTTGAACACTCCTGATGAGAGAAATTTACAAGATAGGATGATATACGGAGATATAAGGAGTTTGTCGGGTTGTAAGACTAAGAGTTGAACGTCCCAGTGCCACCACAAGTACTACAAGAACGAGCAGAAGAACACTTGGAACAGTAGCTCCATTTTTTAGGAAGCCTGAGAAAGATTAAGATCAGATATAAGTTGAAGGTTGAAGAGTTTCTAACAAAAAAAGAGAGAGACAAAACAAGAAAATTGTACGCTGCGGTGAACCGAGTGGCCATGTTCTTCGCAGCCAACCGTGCACGCTCTGCATTTTCATCCGACAGTTTCTTCAGCACAAACCCTTCACCTTTGCATTCAGAACATAGGCCTGAACCACCGCAGTCTTCACATGGTCTCAAAGGAATCTGAATTTTATGGACAACATCAGAGAAAGCTAGAAAAGAGATCAGCACAAGAGTTGCATACAAAGATATGAATAAAAGAAGCAAGGATATGGACATAAGACATAGATATGACATGATACAGATACGGTAAGAACAAGTTTTGAATTCGAAATAAGTAACCTATGCATGTGTTTAACGTATTTATTGTAACAGCTCAAGCCACCACTAGTAGATATTGTCTGCTTTGGCCCGTTACGTATCGCTGTCAACCTCATAGTTTTTAAAACACATTTACTATAGAGATGGTCTAGACCTACTCTGATCAGGTGATTGACTCTTATACCATTTGTAAGCCCAAGTTCATCGATAGCAGATATTGTCGTCTTTGAGATTTCCCTCGAGGTTTTTAAAATGTGTCTACTAAGGAGGGTTTCCACACCCTTATAAAGAATATTTTGTTATTCTCTCCAACCGATGTGGGATCCCACAATCCCACCGCCAAACGTTCTGGCTGGCACTCGTTCCCCTTTCCAATCGATGTGGGGTCTCACATTTATTGTGCTATCAAGTATCCGGCACATGTCTAACAAGCATCCAAGTGTCTATATGTGTTAGACACGAGCATGTAGCCAAACTAAAGCTTCCGTGCTTTTTTTGTAACGACACAAAAACAAAAACAGTGCAGTAACTGACAAGATGCAGGTTTCAAACACTTGATTCTATATGATAATGGCACATAAATGGTGTTTTAGATCTGAAGCCAACCTCCTCCGCTTCAGAATCTTTGTTTCTTCTGGAAAGGAAGGTGGCTGCTGCACCTACAACTGTAGCAGCAATGGCCACAGAAGCAGCTGTTTCAGGTAGGGAAGAAGCTATAGTCAGTGTTCTTCTCCCTCCTTGAAGCTTCAAATCAGCTGAAATAGGATTGGAGTCGAACAACCGAAGTCCATGGTTGATGGGCTTAGGATCCCTAATTACTTCACAAGAACAGAATTTCAATCAGCAGAAAGTTTAGATGTCATATCATAAGTTCATAATGTAGATTCTGCTACAGCAAAAGGAAAATTTAACAGCTTCTCCAATCCATTAATCTAATATTACACATATTTGTTTACAAAATTTGATTCTAGAGCTTTAACAAGACATTGTAATGATAGGCAAAGAACAATGATCAACAGCTTTGACACCATTTTTCTGCTAAGAGTTGCATCAAACAGTTGTGTAAACAATCACAGTCAAATAGCTAGCGGAAATAACATGTCACAAGTGCTTCCGCTCAAGGTTTTTAAAACACATTTGCTAGGGAGACATTTCCGCACCCTTATAAAGAATGTTTGTTCCTTTCTCCAACCGATGTAGGATCTCACAATCTACCCCAAATACTAGATTCGTTCACCTCTCCAATCAATGTGGGATCTCACAGTTCACATCCCTTCAGGGCCCAGCGTCCTCGCTAGCACACCGCCTAGTATCTGGCTCTTATACTATTTGTAACGACTCAAGCCCACCGCTAGCATATATAGTTCTTTTCAGGCTTCCCCTCAAGGGTTTTCAAATGCGTATGATGAGAGATTTCCACACCTTTACAAAAAAATGTTTTGTTCCTCTCCAACCGATGTGGGATCTCACAATATCGCTCCAGGGCACGACATCGTTGACAAAATTTCTTCTCAAGGTAAGTTAAGGGCTCCTCTTTGTGACAATCGGTACCTTCAGGCAACAAGGTGCCCTTAAACCACCCCAATACAAAACCAACGTCTTCAATAGTGGTACATTGCACTACTTCGTGACCTACATTTCTCAAATTTACAAGAACTAAAAGACCTTAATCATAAGCCCCCTTGATTTCAGCAATATGGTATACAACCCCTTTGTTGTCACCCATCATAACACTTTAACCATTACTAAAGATGAGTTAGCAACCAGACAATCACAAGCAAACGCACAAAATCTAGTCTCTCAGGCCTCAAACCTTTCCGAAACAACCAAATTATGGCAAACGACTTTTGTCAAACAACACGCCGGCTTGGAAAATCCCAACACTGATGAATAAACCGACCAAAACCCTGTTGCAGAAAGACCGAAAACAACGAAAGGGCAATCGCAAGAAAAGAAATGGCGAAAGAAAGTTAGAGCTCTAAGAACCCACATGAACAGATATCAATGGAAAATCCCAATTTGGCAACATGGGGAACAGAGAAATGGAACGAAATTCAGAGCAAACAGAATTCAAGCGTACTCTTGGAGGAGGAGGCAAACAAGGGTGTAGGCAGAGTCAGCTCCATTGAGAAGGAATTGTAAGTTCTTTCGCGCAGAACAAAGAAATTTCTCTACCTGCTTCTTGTTCCGCTATTCTTGGGTCCCTTATCTTCATAAGAGATATTGGGAACAGCTTAAATCCTTTTTTCCTTATTTTCATCTTATCTATAAATTAATTGATTTTTTTGACCAAAAAAAAAAAAAAAAAAAAAAAAAAAAAAAAAAAAAAAAAAAAAAAAAAAAAAAAAAAAAAAAAAAAAAAAAAATCATTTATTTCTAGTGAATAACTATATTATTAAACAAATAATCTTGATAATCACCCGACGGTATGGAAAAGACCTTCCGACCTAAAACCTTCAGCCCTTATGTTCAAATAAGGTGTTCAAAGCACTTCACTTTGTTGAGGATTATTAGGAGTGTGTCCCACGTTAGTTAATTTAATAGAAAATGATGAATTTATAAGTGAGAAATACTATCTCTATTAATACGAGACATTTGAGAAGCCGAAAGCAAAACCATAACTATGAACTCAAAAGGAACAATATAATAACATTGTGGTGAGCTAATTGATGTATTATATGTAGTCTTAAAAAAAATTCAATTGAAACGATAAGAAATAGAGAATAAATAAATAATTTAATAGATTATTTTTAAAATTTGAATTTTTATTGTGTAAGTTTCAAAAAAGAATATAATGATTTTGATAAAAACCCATCATTGCACATAGCTTGAAGGTGATGATAATAATAATAACAACAATAATAATAATTACGTATATTACAAACAATTGTTTATGATAATAATATTTATTTCATTTCTTTTAATGAAAATTAATTCAATATAACAAAATTTCAAAATATTTTAATTAAAAATTTATTAACGTTTTTTTAAGTTTGGTTAAGACTTTGTAATTGTTACCAATAAATAAATAATAATAATAACATGAGTATATATAAATTTTTTTAACTATTTAAAATTTAATTGAAAAAACATTTTAAATCAATTTTAAAATTTTGGTAGCGTAGTTTTTTTTTTTTTTAAATATAAAAAATTTACAAATCATCAATTGGAGAGTAAAACAAAACGAACAGTGAAAATTTTAAATTTTGTATAATTGTCAATTGAAACGGAATATTCTTTCTGATGGGAATCTTGAGCCAATATTCTCAATAGACTATTGATGTGAATAAAATAAAATAATGGTCTTTTAATTTTTATTTTATTTTATTTTTTTGGTGAAATTCTGTTGGAATGATTGAGTGGGCCCAAATGGGGTTGCTTGGTTTTGCGGGTTTTAACAAGCCAAGGCTTTTTTCAAATGGACTTGTGCATAGATATGGTCTGTTTTGACCTATTACATATTACTTTTACAGTTTTAAAACGGGTTTATTCAAGAGAGGTTTTTACACCGTTCTAAAAAAATGATTTATGCGAAATTTCACAATTCACCTCTTTGGAGACTTAGCGTTTGCACTAAAACAATGCCTCGTGTCTAGCTCTGATATCAGTTTGGACCGCAAAAAATAGACTCATTTTAAAATCATGAGACTGACAACAATACGCAACAAGCCAAAGTAATAATATTTGTTAGCGGTAGACTTAGAGCTATTCCACACAAACTTCACGTTCTAATATCCAATTAAGACATTATTTAAGTCGTACAGTCTAACTCAATAGTCTTTACTTTTGAACAAATCTTTTATTACATTCAATCTTTCTCGTACCAATTTTTATTTTTATTTTTTTTTCTATGTGCGGACGTTTAGTTTTTAAACTCTTTGCAGAGACCTAGATTCCCACGCTAGAACGACAATATTAATTATGTTCGTTATACAACAACGAAAAAAAAAGAAAAAATAAAATTAAAAGAAAAAGGAAAAAATGGAATGAATAATGGACTTTTGCACCTTACTTTAATTAAAATCAATCAAATCATTATGTCCGGATAGAAAATGGAAGTATTTGTAATAAATTAAGAAAAAAAACATGAGAAAAAAAAAAACGACAAAAAGACAAAATTAAATAAAATAAAAAAGAAAAAGAGATAAAGAAAAAAAGAAAAAAGAAAAAAAGCAAATCAAGCATAGAGCCAAACTGAACAGCGCCCCGGTGAAAGCGGGTCAAAGGATCCGCTTCTCTTAACCTTACCTACACGCTCACTCTATACACATCCAGTTCTTCCACTCTCTCCGCTTCAGCTCAGATCCAGGTTTCTCTCCCTGTTTACTCTCTTCAAGGCATGCTTTAATTCTCATTTGTTTCTTGTTCTTTCCTTTTTTTTTTTTTTTTTTTTTTTTTTTTTTTTTTTTTTTTTTTTTTTTTTTTTTTT